TGCACAGAATTTTCTTCACATGTTTACTCCTGAATTCTTTCAGTAGTGCTACTTTCTAGTGCTTATGGCATCACCACTATAATGCCACTATAAAAATACCTACTATAAAATTCAGAAATTTGAAAGGGTACTAGAAAAGAAAACATCACTGAATAAACTAAGAAAAGGAGCAAGCTGATACAGGCTTGGGAAGATTCCATTTTGAGACAAATGTCATGGTAGCCGTCTTTGGTAAAACAGCAAACATGGGAGCAATGCGTGACAGTTACATGGAGGTTTTTTGCCAAGTGTATTTTTAAAAATACACATGAATTTTGCATTGGCTCTTTAACATTCCACATTAACTGGCTAACATGCATGCTTCTGAAGAATGTAAAGTATGTAAAAATGTAAAACACGTATCTCGAACATTTTCTTTGATGGCTTTCAACAAAAATACACAGATTCACAGACCTTGACTTTTGTACTTTGACAGCTAACCGGCTGCACTTCCGACAACTGAAGAGACCACATCTGCCAGGCACTCAGTCTCAGCAGTAAGGGTAACACCAAGCAGAGCTGGGATGCTGTACCATTAGAAGCATAGCATCACATTTGGCTCCAACAGGTGTGCAGCTGACTGACTTCTTGTATTTTGATACCAAATACAATCAACAAAATCATAAGCTTGTGTGGCTTAGTAAAACTGCCAGCCCATGACTTTAAGGATGGAGAGGGCAACTCTGTCCCAATGCAGCTGGAAGGGAACAGAGCTATGTTCCCATGAGAAAGGCCACTCTGCATCACCCTCTTATATGGTAGTACAGCATCTATGCTCGCTCTGCTTCCAGGGCAAATGAAAGAGACATGACCTTGCTGAGACATCAGGCTGGCCTCCATCCTGTGCAAAACAAAGGCATATGAAGTCCCTCCATGAAAATATACCTGCATTCATACATATTCCTGTTTTTCATGACTGAAGTTACAACCTAAGGTCATTTAAGTGAGATGATACAGCTACAACTGTTGCAGAGTGCAGTGCTCCTGAAATTCTGCCGTTTAAACAAGATATCATAAAAAGGTGCTGACATCTCGAGGTTATTAAAGAGATCACAGGACTGTTATCTCCACAGTATGACAACACCTTTTGTTTAACTGTCTTCTAGTAATGTAAATCTGCCCAAATGCAGCATACTTAAGAATTTAAATAATAAATTGTTATCACAAATCATAAAATGTTATTAGCATTACTAAAGGAAATAACTAAGCTGAACATAGAAAGCAAGTTCATATGATAAGTAAAGATGGACAGTCTTTACCCAAGTGACTAACTTCCTCAGGCATTACTTAACCTATTTGTAGTCATTATTTATTGATAGCAAGATAGTTATTTCCAAAAGCAAAATTTAGTCTACTCTTCAATTTCTAGTTGGTGATGTTTTTTTTCCCCCAAATGCCTCTGAAAAAATAAAACTTATTCTCCTGCTTTAACAAATTTAATCATTAATCTGTTACCTCTGGCTTCAGCTAAGTATATGACCTGACAAGAAGTAGACAGACAGCATCCTTCTCTTAATGCTTTCGTACACAGCCTCCTAATCATCATTAATGAAACACTGCCGAATGCTGCAAAGAAATGAGAACACCATAACCCCGTGTTAACTTGAAACTGATGTATCTTACAGTACTTTGCTTCAACTCTCCTGCTCACTACATATATGAACTCTAATCAATTATATATAGTTCATAGGACATTGCCATTTATAACATTTACCAGGAATATAACATATTAACTGTTAATAATAAGAGTTAACATCAGGATGATGATATTCCAGATTAATGCATCTGGAAGCCAGATTCAATAGCTTCTTATTAAGTAAAATGTTAATCAGAGGTATCTGTGATGAAGACAACTATTCTTAAAGTCTAGCTAGGCATCCTCACAAGGATACAGTCTGGTAATTATATGCACAGTATTAAAGGTTTCATTAACTTAATCAGAACCTCTTAAAACACTTTTTTTGAGTAAGGTTTGCACCAAAAGTTTCACAGTAGAAATACACTTTTCAAAAATGTAACTGGTGGTCTTATGTTCAACACCATTCATTCAGGATAATAAATAATATGCATTAAATGCATTATTTATTATAAGCTTCAACATGCCTTTATCAATGCTGTTTAGACAATTTATTTACTTTACTAGGCAATCATAAACAGAAAAGGCAGTTCAGAACATTTTATTCTCTGGTGCACACAGGGCAAAATTTAAACTATAACCACTACCACAGGTTAAGCTATATAACAAAAATAATGGACAACAACATATTTTATTTCTAGCAGCACTAAGGGTATTTTATGCACTACACTGCACTATAGTGCAGGAAGACTAACAAATAGGATCACTAATACAGAGTATGACTCTGTGGAAGAGTTAGTGCTTGTGAGTACCAAATTCAGGAATTAAAATTCACTGAAGGCACTGACTTCAAAGGTCCCTGGAAGATATTCAGAAGATACTAGTGAGGTAAATGAGAGATTTATCTTGAAACGCAAAAATTCCCCCCTTTATTAACTAAGCACTAAGGCTAAGTTGCATGACTAAACTAAGAAATGGTCCAGAAAGGATAACCAGGAAATTACTAGTCAGCATTTCTCACTCCACAGTAGCTACACAGTACCACATGAAATGATCAAGCAGGAGGTTGTAAACAATCAAACAGAAGCATGTGAACTGTGCGCCTGAATCCACTACATGTTGAGCAGGCCAGATGTACCAAGGAAACCCAAAGGAAAATTAGAGAGGTTCATACAAAAAAAAAAAAAAAAAAAGGGTT